AGAATGTAAGACCTACACTCACACCTTATTCATATTCGCAAACCAGGGTTTACAAGATGAGCATGCGGCATATATCCTCTCCTCATACCTGCGCCGACACCGCTATTATCAAATACGACTTAATATAATAGTAATAGACAATTCATTATTGTTGGAAATTCTTTCGAATATCTTACGTAGGCCAAGAGAGCCCAATATCGAGCCAACAATATGTCATTACACACTAATTCAGTTTAATCATGCACAAACAACTTGATATCACATTATCTTTCATCTAGACTGACGTAAAATGAGGACGAACCTCAATATGCATCAGTATCTTTGCCATATATATGAAGAAGAACTTCAATATGAATAAGTAACTCCATATGATATTCCTGAGGACGAACCTCGGAATGAAGATTCTCAAACTGACATAAAATGAAGAAGAATCTCAATATGCATCAGTATCTTTGCCAGACATATCTGAGAACGAACCTCAATATGAATCTATAAACTCACATCAAATTTCTGAGGACGAACCTCTGATTGAAGAACTATTTGTACAAGACGTATCTGAAGACGAACTTCAATATGTATCATTAACTTCAAGTGAAAGCTCTGATGAAAAAACCTCGGAATGAAGAAGTATCTGAATTCGAGACGCGTGTAGACTAACATCACACAACAACTGGATAGTGGTAAAAAACTTACATATAGATCATGCATTACTATATGCTGATCTACAGGAGGTGAATATATATACCACATCCGTATGAACCGAAGGTGGTTCAAATAAATAAAGCTTTATATGGTTAAAGCAAAGTCCGAAAGAATGGAATGATTACTTAAGAAAATATCTAAATAGTTGATCATTCTATGACTCGGAATATAAATCAAGTATCCATTTTCTAAAGATAGATTTACAGCTCGTAAACTAGAAAAACTATTAGAACAAGTTCGAAAGAACGTAACTGCTATAGAAAAAATATCTGGTTTATTTAATGTTACTGACATTTTAACAAAAAACAGTAACGCAAATTCAATTCAAGAAATTGTTTGAATGCTCGGAAAATAAGTTACACCCAGGAGACATTCTTCGTATAACTGAGCTAGGAGAATCAAAATCCAAGGACAGGAAGAAGATGTTGATGATCAGTTAAGAAGATCGTAAAAACATGTCTTTACGGAGGTGTGTCAGAATTATGAGGTAACACGTGATATATACGTATTACGACATTATTCATATAGGATAAAGAAATGTTACTTTACACGAAAGTGTTATTTCTGACGTTAAAACTTTTCCAACACTTTATATAAGAAATGACAAGATCTTAATTGACACTTGTCATGTTAATTATATTCCCATGTGTATATTATATACTTTAATACACCGGATCAATATCAACTTATTAAGAATGTCCTTGGAAATAAATAAAGAATCTATTACTATGAATGATTCGGTAGAAAAAACACAACATGATTCTCTACACATATTTTAGAATATACGAAAGCGTGAATACTCTCACCTATATTACTAACATTATTAAGGGGAATCTTCATCATTAATCAGAGCAAAATTATTGTTATTCGCTTAAATCACCTTTTCCAAGAATAAAAAGTATCATCTCTCGAGGTCAATTTTACTTATTTACTATTTACACCACCCTTTCTCTGTACGCATGAGTTGGAGAGAGGACTTAAAAATCCCCAAGCTATTACTCGAATGCAATGTTAAAATTATAATAAGAATTTGAAGATACCATTAAATCTTTGTATTGTTTCCTTATTCAACCATGGAAAACTGTTTACCGTCGTTGCAACGGCTACGGAGAGTGTCGAGTGTTTCTTCTAAAATCTGTACATCTGTACATAGTAATTTTGATAATTGGTAATTGGTAATTGGTAATTAAAATAACTAAATATGAACACTACGCCCTGGAGTATTAAAAGTTATATGGATTTGTTTTTAAGCAAGCACACCACTCTTAGACAAGAAAGAATAAATAAAACTACTATGCTTCATACTTTCTTTGTTACCAGTTCAATATTTAAGCCAATATTCTTTAGTGTACTCGTATACAATTACTTGAAATCCAAACGGATCATTATTTCGAAAGTTCCTGCAAGACCGTCTTCTTCTTCCTCTTCTCTTTACTTAAATGAACAGCTCGATAGATTTTATCCATATTTGATCTTCCTTATGCCACAGTCATTTACTCCAACGGATAAAACAATTAGACATACTACGAACAAAAGACACATTCAGACAGAGTATGAAAAATAGATATATTCTTCTGTAGTCAAGAAAAGTGTATTGCACTAAAAAAGATGAAAAAAGTAAGGCCCGTTCTATATTAGCGTTTGTTTTGATTACCGAATAAGAAATTAATATATATCAAATTGAACTATATTAAAGCATGTCTTACTGCGAAAAAACATCGTCCCCTCCCTCATCCAGTCTCCAACCTCCCTCTCCCCCCCCCCATATTTTCCCAGAATACAGCTGTTGGTTGTTGATACAGTAAACGGCATCCAACAGATGTTGATGTTTCAGCAAGAAAGGATATATCGTTTGTGTCGTCTATGATCATTCTTGAACACGAGTTTCGAAATACGACCAGAAATAAAGCGATGAATGTTGGCACGTCAATGCCAAAGTCTGCTTTGAATAACAAGTAAAATAGAAAAAACACATCTAATTTTATTTTTCGGTAGCTGATACCAGAGTGTGTTAATTGATTGATTGATTGATTAATTGGTTACTACATTCCCCAGAAAAACGTCACAAATTACAGGATATTTGATGTTAGATGGTAGAACGGCTGTCTATTACTCCCATTCTCATTCTTGGTGTTTGTTTCTCCCTGTAGCTTTGTTTGTGTTCGGCTCTTTTATTTTCATTCGTTGCTAATCATTAGATACGCATACACACCCAATCAGAGCCATCCCCTTTCCGAAATGCTTAATTTTACCAAAAAGGAAATTAAAACTGTACAAATCATTAGCCGCTCAGATCTAGTCTGAATCTGTCTGGGTTGGTGCCTAGTGCCTTTCCTTATTCCCCCATCCCCCCAAAACATAACCAATACACCACACACTGAAGAATAAAAAGGACTCAGTAAATAAATTGATCATATCATGTTTAACCATTTATGTCTGTTTCCGCTTTTCCCCCCTCCCCTCCCCCCTTTACGCAGGTCTACTCTTCTCGCAGAATCCTGGCTCTCTCTTCCCCCCCCCCCCCCTCCCCCCGAAAATATAGACTCAAATATAACATAAGCATATATATCAAAAGGCTAAATACACGCCCGGACACCACCTCTGTTATCACCATGAACCGTCCATTCCGCCTTAATGACCTGATCCATACAATGCGCGCTACTATACAAAAATACCTCTGTCTCTGTCTGCATTTTGATTCATCCATCTCTTGTAATGAATCCATCATCAGCACCACCATGTCTCGTACAAACAAAGAAACAAAGAAACACAAACTAACCATCGATCCATCTTCATCTTCATCGCAGAGACATAATAATCCACATCCTCTCCTCTGCATGCCCAACTGGCTATACGGCAAAACTGAAGGCAAAACTGAAAAAAAGTATCGTCTCTCGAAATCAATCAAAAAATAAAAAGCACAGTTAACTAAAAATCATCAAATACTAATTTACAGTAAAATCCGTTCCAATTCGGTAAATAGATACCTATCTCATCTTACCGAATCCGAACCAAACTAAATTGAACTAAACCCAATGGCTCAAGATTTAATAACGGTACAAAGTTTCGAATGTCAAATATCAAATATCAAATGCTACCAAGAAATAGACAGGAATCGTCCGAGCGAATAGATAGATGCACACCAACTAATTCTGCACATAAATCTTTTTTTTTTTCTGCTTTTGGTACGAAATATGTTAATTGTTTTATTACGTTCAGATCAAAATAAGGCACTGACCTCTGACCACTGAAGTGATGAACTGGGTGAGCTTCTCATGGTTCTGGAGGGAAACAAAAATATAAAAAAAAGCCCAGTGAAATTTGAAAATGTAAATTTTCCTGTTTGATTTCACCGATTGCAATGGTCATTTAATATTCTGAGCATACGTGTCCCTGCAGGAAATAAATCTCAGAATGATAGAAATAGAAATTAAATTAAAGAAAAAATACACAACATAAATTTAGTTGTAATAAATCTACTTACTGTTTAAACTATCGTATGGTATGTGTCACTGTATCCACCATTTTATTCCCTTTCACATTTATAGTCTCTACTCAAATTACTGTTATTAAGCTGTAGTAACTATCGAATCTATTTTTTTTTTTTAACGTTCCTTCATAGAGATGAAATTATTGAGATTTGTTTGATCTAGACTTAGCTGCTACTAGGTTCTTTTTAAACTTTTATCAAATAATATCTTATCCCCCTCCCCCTTCACCTCCAGTGCCCCCGTCTGCCCCCGTCTGCCCCCGTCTGCCCCCTTCTTCTCTCCCTTATCAGGGTTCCTGTCGCACTAGACCAGATATGATTGCTGAGTATCTACTGAACATATTAAAAGAATAACTATTACTACTGCTACTAATCAATCGTTATTATTATTATTATTATTATTTTTTTACTAAATTTTTCAGTAGTCTTTTATCCATTGCACAACTTCATTTCGATTCCTATTTCAATCAGAAACACACACATATCTACATCTACACATATCTCAACATTGATTTAATTTTGCCCACTTGCGAACTTTATGTGTATATGTATCTCTGTTTATATCTCTCTGTATGGCTGCCTAGCTATGCCGGAGAGAGAGAGAACTCCTATTCTCATCTCTTTATTATCAAACCAATTTCCATAAGCATAACCTAAATCTTCCAATCGTTAATACCCATACATTAATATATATATATGGATGTATTAATGGGATTCTTGATTTAAAAAAAAAACGTCAAAATCATTGACGCTGCATGTAAAAAGCTAAGTTTTTATCAAAACAAGGTATATCCCATCGTCAAAAATAATGACATCGTTGAATTCTAGAAACGGTTCACACTCATCTCTTGCTTTGACTCAATCAAATCATTCCTACAGAAACCAAAGACGCTCATCAACTTTTAAACATGCCATCTCATCGATTCTAGGAAACTCATCTGCAACTACTACTACTACAATATCTTCACCAACAAGAAATGTGTCTACCTCTTCTACCGATCACAAACCTGTTCATCATTCGAATAATCATCGTCATAAGAAACATAATACAGATATTAGAAGAAATTCAATGTACCATTCATCGAATCCATTATCACTACAAGAACAAAGAAGACACAGTACTACTTCAGTAATTGTTAAGCAACCTGCAGTTTCGCATTCAGCTCATAATACGTCACCAAGGAATAGTAATCTTCATACTCACGATGATGATTCAATTTTAAATTCTTTTAACAATTATTCAATGTCAAATAATCCGAACTCGACAAGACTGTCACACTCAAATAAATCTACTTCTGCAAAATCTTATTTAACTAATTATTTACTAGAGAAAGGTTTTGTAGGTCAAAAATTATTATTTTTTAATGATGATTTTAAATTATCTGTTGCTACTACAGGTGAAAATGTCTTCTTGCCAACTGTCTCAGAATCAACAGATGAATATTTAGAGAGACTAAACGGATTTAGAAATGAAAATGATGATGGCCATTTCCCTGCTTCTTTAACAAGAACTAATGAAACCGATTTTTCTTTAGATGAATCAGTAAATACAGAGTATTCTACAGGTTCATCCACAGAATCAAACTCAAATTCTAACATGACAAAAAATAGAGCCACTTCTTTCGAGATAACAGACAAAATGACACCTCATGGAATAGCTTTAGTATTATCTGTGGACAAACCAACAACTTTGAAAGATTTCCATGTACAGTTGTGTTCAAGATATAGAGTCTATTGGAATGAGGGTGTACCACCAACAAAGACATTTAAAGAAGAAATATATAATGGTGGTAAGATAAATTGGTTATTAACTTCAAAGAATTATGACTTATTTGTGCCTTCGAATGTCACATCAAAGGATAAGATCAGTGAAAACATAAATGCTGAAAGATCTTTAAAACTATTGAGAAATTATCCTCCTTCGAAGAGAAAATATATCGAGAGTGCCCAAACAAGAAGTAAATTATTGGGTAAGGTTCAGAATTCGAAGACAAGAATGTTGCAACCAGGAGACTACGTTTTTATTTTACCCGTGGTTTTTCCAAACAATATTCCTGAATCGTTATATTTCCCTTCAGCTCGTGTTGGATATAGATTATGTATTGCTTCGAAATATCTTGGCAGTTCAAATGCATCACAAGAGGGTTCATCACAAGCTCCTAACCAACAAGTTTATGTAGGTCAAAATCGTGACAGCGCTGATTCTTTACAATCATCAGCACAAACTTCCCATACTCAAAAAACTTTTAGTAATTCTCTATTTAAGAAAGTAAAAGGTTCCTTACGGATGCCAAATGATCATGAAAGACCCAAAACTAATGATTCAAGAGATATTTATGTTGAATATCCGATTAATGTAGTGAGAATGCCTCCTCAAATATCGGTTTCCACAGCCAACAAGTCAATTTATATAAATAGAGTGTGGGCTAATGCATTAGCTTATGAAATATCAATAGGCCAAAAGTTTATCTCATTAAATTCAAAGGTTCCGGTTAAGATTAAATTAACCCCAATGAGCAAACACTTAAGAGTTGAGCGTGTTCGTGTCAGTATTGTAGAAAAAATTACTCTGGTTAGTAAAAATCATGAATACGAATTTGATCAAACAGATATTTTGGCAAGAGATCCTTATAATCCATACTATCAAGATTTCCAGACGAAAAGAAGGAAGGAACGTACTTTAGCGTTATTAGAAGTTAGGACTAAAGAAAAGGGCGGAAGAGCCCTAAGAGAAGAAATTGTAGATAACGCTTTTGAGGGAAATTTGTTGTCTTATGATACAATTAAGGATCAATCAAGACCATCAAAGACAGTTGGAATAACCGAATCGATTTCTATTGAGTCAAAATTGGAATTTCCAAAATACGATGATCTAGATAAGAAATCGGCAAAAACATTGGCCCCATATGGTGTTGACCACTATAATACTGATTCTACAATTGAAGAAGAACAAACAATACAGCCACCAACCTCACGTCGTGGAAGCGTTTTAGGTTTTTTTTCATCTAAATCTAATTCTGTGCAATCTCCAAAGAAACCAGAACAGCCTCAAGTGGCACCAAATCCCAGGTTGAATGTTACTACATTTCGAACAAATGCTGAAAATCAAGTTAAATCCCACACTAAGCTATATGAAGCTAAGCGTGGTATTTATTTAGATAGCTTAAACTGTTCGAACGTGAGTTGTAAACATAAATTAGAAGTTATGTTTAGGATTAGTAAGAAGGATGACAACGAGTCAATAAAGGCAAGAAACTATGAAGTTTTAATCGATATCCCAATTTATGTGGTTTCAGAACTATGTAATAGTGAAAATATGGACTTACCTACATATGAAATGGCTTCGGTCGAACCTCGTACTAAAAGTGAGTCTGCGATGGACTTTCCACCAAGTTTTGAAGAAGTATTCTCAGTGCCAGGTTCTCCAATGGACTCTCCAATGGGCTCTCCTATGGGTTCACCAAGTTTAAGGGCATCACATCATACAGACGATTCTTTAATACAAAACTTGAGTTTGGGTACTGATATTTCTTCAACTAGTAACAGATCTAGGGACGTTGAATGGAGGGACTCTGGTGACTATTCTGCCAGAAGTACATCAAATTCTGCTCAGAATATCAATAATTCTAACTTTAGTAATCTTGATGGGTTACTATCCACATCACCAAGAAACAGTTCAAACCCATTTTCTGTGGATCCAAATGTGCCATTTTGCACTATGGATCAAAAAGAAGCACATGTTGCTTTATTTAAAGAAGGGTATTCTATGACTCCAAATAACACCATCGGCGATACCTCAAGAGACGATATGGAAATGCATGAAGTCGAAGGACCAGGATTACAGCGTCTGTATACTACTTCTGATCCTCCAACTTACGATGACGTTATTTCTCAGTAAATATGATGACAAGTGTGTATTATACATATTTAAATTTGCTACGCAATAATGAAACAGTTTTAATGATCCATAATATTGTTCAGACTGACATAACAGGTTCCAGGTGAACCCAATGACAGTAAATGATTTATATAAATTCTTAATGTTAATTTTATTACTATATACACATAACAGGGTTCAGAAAAAGGAAGATTGTAGTTTTGGATTTAAATGTAAATTTTTTCAAACCATTAAATGAACTCAAAGGTTATAAGTTTTCAATTGTTAATTATATTAATTATTATTACAAATTTATCAATTTCAAATATTCAAAGCACCTCTTGCTGTGCTTACCCCAAATGCACTCAACATTCTTAAACTGGTTCCACCGAATGGGAAATAAGAAATACCATAGTATAGCACTGCTATTAGTTCTAGTACAGCGCAAGGAATGGTCAAAATGGAGCTCTTAACAATGGCAGCAAAATAAATAGTCAAAAAACAGGTACCAAAGAAGAAACCAGTGAATGGCAATCTTTCTCTCGAAGTAAGATGTTTTAAATAAGCCACTGGTCCCATAAAGAAACCAAAAGCTAGAATGAATAGTAACGAGCCCATCGACCATAACAGACCAAACTTTCTTGGTTTAATAGCCAAGACAGGGAATAAAAATACACACAGAGTGAAACATGCTATGGAACCTAATATACAACAAATAAATAATAATAATCTTTCAGTTCTAGATAAATTAAACCAGGAAGGTTCTTGACTTTGTAATAAATCTTGATTTGACATAGGTAGTCTTTGATATACATCTTGAGCAGTTGAATTTAAAGATTCCCCCCAAGAAGAAAACATGCTTTTTGCACTATCTGCAAGCCCACTAGTACCGGCATTGGTTTGATTTTGAGAACGTGTATCATACCATCTTTGCAATGAATCTCTTAACGTTCCCTCTGCATTTTCTGATTCTGCCATAACTTAATCCTGTGATATAAATTTCTATATATTATGGTACCTTGCAATCAAATAACTTTTAAAAGAACAGATTCAAACAGACACACAAGTTAACTACCTGATCCGCTAGCTGACGTGTCTCCTAGTCCAACTCAACACTGATCATTTCAAACTCTTCTTGTGTTAACAAGTTTCATTAGTTCCTTATATATATGCTTCTATTGAGCTGTGCCTTATTTAAATTGAGCCTATAGTCCATATAATTCTGTACGACCATAAGAGCGTCCGTATTAGATATTCGCAGGTAATTGCTGTCATCGAAGTGTAGAGGCTTATAACGAATGAATATATACCAGTATACTAACACATCCATATCATATCATTGGTACAAACTCATCAATACACCTGATGCTATGGTGTGTTTTCATCCATCCATACAATGGTAATTGACCTTTGTTAAATATAAACACATCTTGTTCCTGTCATGTGACACACCTACACACAGCCACCCATCACCATATCTCATTACCCTGCCTCCAATTTACCAAAGCCACGTGATAACGAATATCCCCCATCACGTGATGATATATCCTAAAAGTTCAACAAAAATCGAAATTCTGAAATTTTAAAGCCTTAATGACAGAAGTTTAAAGGAATCTCTATCTATTTCTATGTTTTATATCTGTTGCTTTTGCTGTTTTAAGAAGGGGTTTAGTTGATATACGTCACGGGATAGAGGCTACAATTTGTCGTTGAATTCGAATTCCCGTTGAAGTATAGTGCATTGTCGGAAAGTGCAATCGATATTTCCATTTGAAGCTTTATTTTAATCCAAAGTGTGTAGCTGCTCCCACTCTCTTAATTGATTTTTTTTTTTGGGATAAAACTAGAGGTTTGGGGAGAGTTTGCGTATTAGACCATAAACCATAAACCGGTGAAAACTGTGCTAGAACCATACTTTGTATATATTTAGTTGTGAATAATCTGACCGTGGAGCATTGAGATACTACTCTTTTTACAATAGGAGGGTGAAAAACAAATACACATCGAGGGTTTTGATTTAATTTAAGAATGAATAATAGAGATCAGGATCAAGAATTTTTGGAGGAGCTACTTCGTCAAAGTAGAACCAGTATGCCAAAGGATGAGAACGATATGGTGAATGTCCATATTTTAGGGCAACATGGTATTTTCCAGGAACAAAATTCTCATCCTAACCAAAATAATGATGTCATCAATAACAACAGCAACAACATCAATCTCATCAATAATAATAGAAATATGAATGATGAAGATGCGTATATGGACGATTATGGAAATATGCCACATCAAGTTCCAAACAACACAATCAACAATGGTAATAATGATAATTATCCAAATCAACAACATAATGTAGGTATGACTCAATTCTTGGATGATATATTCGCATCTGGTGAGTTGGATTTATCTGGTGCAGGCCCCTTTGATGCAAGATCAGGTAACCATCACCAGAATTCGATTTCTTATGATACTGATAGCAATCATATGCCTGCTCTAACTGAATTGCCTCAAGATTTTTTATTCAACCAAAGAGATGAATTACAATACAATTATCCCGATGAATTCAGTTCTTCTTTTAGCTCAAGTTTAAATTCAGATGCCTTATCGTCAAGCTATTCATCTTCAGTTCCATATCAACAACCGTTCGTGGGACCACCAACGTCACAGTCAAATACGTCCAATTATCTAAATTCGATAAGATCACCAAGCAACTCATTGAGGGCTGGGAACTACTTATCATCGTCGCTACGACAAAACAGCAACATGATGACTCCAAATTCAGTGGCTTCTCCTTCTACAAGACATGCATCTGTGAGTAATCAAGATAGCATGAATATGGTATCTGGGGGCACACCTAAATCTTTGGCACATTTGACCATCGATGAAAGATTGAAAAGAAAAAGAGAGTTTCATAACGCTGTCGAAAGAAGAAGACGTGAATTGATAAAAGAGAAAATTAAAGAATTAGGTAAGCTGGTCCCTCCTTCTTTATTACACTATGATTCAGCAGGGAAAAAAGTGAAAGCAAATAAGGGAACTATTTTGAATAAAACTGTTGAATACATTTCTTACTTACAAGAAATTTTGGAAGTACAAGATAAGAAAAAGGAGAAGTTAATAAGGAAAATTAAGGAATTAGAAGAAAACACAATTCCAGGAAACATGAACAACCGTAATGAATTCAATGAGAGCGGAAGGACTGCACCAGATCTCTCAGCGAATGTTGGTACTAAAAATGACCCATTTGCTAATGACAGGATAATAGATACAAGATCAGGAGTAATCAAAAATGAATTCACAGGCAACAATACATATAAAGGTTCTCCTGGAAGTAACTATGAGGGTAAGAATTTCGAAGATGATCAATTGAATTCAGAATTAAAAGAATTCCTATTGGGGGCAATGATTGAAGCGGAAGATAACGCAAAATTAATGTTCAACAACGGGAAAAATGAAGGAACCCCAACAGATCTGCTTCTTGAATTCGAGTGATCATCGAGAACAGTAAATCATCTTCTTCCAGCTTCTCCAAGAGAGAGAGAAAAATATTTTGCTCTGATACATTCCATTAATATATTCAATAAAAAAAAAATAATACTAAAAACTAATTACGTCTCCTGAATCGACACTTTTCATATACCTTCATGCCTTTCAAGAGATGATAAAAACAAAAAGAAATCTTTTTGTAACAATTGTAATGATAATAACAGATAGTCAAAACCGAATCAAAATGAAAAAAATAAAACAGTACAATAGAATACAATACAATAAATCTGTTAATTGTGAGATAATAACAAAATAAAACTAATCCTTTAATCAATCAGGTCCTTCCACTGTATATATAAGATAATTAATCAATCAATCAATCAATCAATCAATTGGTTCCTCCATCATTATCATAATCATCATAATCATCATAATCATCATCATCATCATTCAAATAAATTTAAAATAACATTTAAATATCATAATCCATAGCAATTAAATAACTAATCTAAGATTAACATATTTATATAAGCATCAAACAACAAACGTCAGAATCATTCAATTCAATTGGTGTGGTTTTGGTCCCTTGCATGTTATAGCCATTCGCTGATTTGACCTCATTTTCTTAACTATGGTGAAAATTAGATATCCAAAAAAATTAGAGACGAATATGATCCATAAACAAAGATACAAACGATGTTGGTACTTTTAACGAGATTAATTTAAATGAATGTATAGTTATTTAGTTTATTTAGTTTCAAGGGTTAACTTTTGATTGATCTTTGTTATTGGGTTGAATTTTAGACATTGATTAAGCCTGGTGTTGGTCACTTTAAATAGCACAGATATGTTTAAAGGTAAAAAGTTGAAAGATGTATTAAAATCTTCTAGTAAATCAGATGGTCAAACATCTAGTAAAAAAGCTAGCGACAGTGGTGGCTCTTCGAGGTTTAAGAGTATGTCAAGTGCGTTTAAATCTTCTAGTATTCCTGAGATATCTTCTAGTGGTTCTGGTATGTCAAGAATTTTTGCAGCTTCTGAAATTAATAAACATGGTATTAGGGGAAGGATAACTGCAACAGCGTTTGATCAAACTCAAAGTTTATTAGCTATTGCTACTGATGCTGGTGATTTGCATGTGTATGGTCAGAAACAAGTGGAGGTCGTTTTCACGTTTGATGGCAAAGCTCCAATTAAAGAAATTATCTTTATTAAAGGTATATATTTAGCTGCAATTGATGAAAAAGATGTAATAATGATATTATCCTTATACTCTAAAAAAGTTTTAACTACGGTTTTCACTCCAGGTAAGTTGACATGTGTCGAGACTGATCCATCTCTAGATTGGATTTTATTAGGTCTACAAAGTGGTACTATTATAGCTTATGATGTCGATAGAGATCAGATGTCTCATTTTAAGATAGAAAATTTACAGAAATTAAATTTCTTTAAGAAGGGTAGAGTATCCCCAGTGGTATCTATGCAATGGAATCCAAGGGACCTTGCTACTGTTCTGATCTCATATGAACAGTCTACTGTAATATTTTCATTAGCTGATAATTCGGTTAAGCAACATTTTATATACGAATTACCTCCAAATGCACCAGGTGGTGAATATTCAATGGATATCTCAGAAACCCGTTATCCAAAAGTTATCCAATCTTTGTACCACCCTAATTCATTGCATATATTAACTGTCCATGAAGATAACTCTTTGGTATTTTGGGATGCAAACACAGGTCAACTTATCCAAGCGAGAACATGTTTCGAAACGGACGTTCACAAACCTCAACCTGGGTTGGTTAAAATGGCACCTACTGGTATTCCAAGAGTAAGAAAAGCTGCTTGGATTTGTCAAAACAATCCCGAGTATACCTCACTGTTGATTGCAAATAGCTTTTCTGAAGATGCTTCAAGACAACAAAACTTGGTCTATATAGATCTCGGAGGTACTCCACTATATACCCTAACCACTTATGATGCAATGAGTAAGTTTTATTCGAGACCTAAAGAACAGAAAATCTTCCCATTGCTTAAAGAATCTAAGATTGTGAATTTTTTACCATTACCTAGAGCTTCCCCATTCTTTGGAGGTTCACATGATCCTGCTATAATCCTTTTGTTTTTTGAGAATGGTGAGATGGAAACTATGTTATTTCCTTCAGGGGCTTTAAGTACAAAATCTACTCTCTTGCCTCAAAGTCTATCTTGGGTAAGACCGTTTGCAACAAAATCGGTAGGTGTATCAGTTCCAAAGAAGTTATGGCTTGGTATGATGTCGAATGCAAGAAATGAAACTGGAATCTTAAAGGGTGGTTTCCCAGTAAAGAAAGATACAAGAGTTCAAGAAGTTAGATCAGCGATAGCAACGGGCCATTCTAATGGATCTGTTAGAATTTGGGATGCTTCCCCAGCTGAGTTAGAAGATACATCGGTATATGAAGTCAATCTAGGGTCAATTTTGAATGTCGGTAAAAACTTTGCTGTGACAAATATCTCTTTTTCTGCAGACACTTTAGAATTATCAGTGGCAATTGAATCTGGTGATGTAGTATTTTTCAAATTCGAAACAAATCCTAATTATTCTCCTAATGGAGCCAATGAGAAACAGATGGAAATGAAATTTAGAAGATTTTCTTTGAATTCTTCAAATGACGTGCTGATTGATGTCAGCGATAGAGCTCCTACTAATATGAATAAAGGTATGATTCCAAGCATCGTGGTTCACTTAAACAGAGGTGCCGTCTCTGCTGTTAGAAATAGTAACATCGGTTTCGTTGCTATCGCCTATAAAGAAGGTAGTATAATATTGGTCGATAGAAGAGGTCCAGCAATTATTCATTCTGATAATCTTAAGAAAATTTCAAGGTTAAATAGTAACTGCGTTACATATATCGATTTTTTTATTTTAGAATATGGTGCAGAAGGTTACAGCAGTATTGTAATGCTTTGTGGTACCGATGCAGGTGAATTGTTAACTTATAAGATATTACCTGCTCAAAATGGTAGATTTGTCGTTGAGCTAATCGAAGTTGTTCAATCCAACGATCCTTCTCCAGTTAGATATATCGGTGCCTTTGATAAGACAATTGGTCGTTCTTGTATAGCAACAATTGCAAAAATGCAAGAATTAAGTAAAGGTGTCCCAATTCCAGGTTATGTTGTTGTAGCTACTGAAGCTGATGCAAGAATTGTAAAAGTTGGTAAATCCAAAGAAAGTCATAAGTCATTTAAAGCCCCAGTTGCATCATCTTCATTAAGTTTCATTCCATACCTAGGTAGTAAAGGTGAGCAAAAATTAGCCACCGTCTTGGTAAATATACTGGTAAATGGTGAAATCAAGATTTTATCGACTCCAGACTTAAAGGAAGTCAAATCATTGAGATCGCCAGTCGCTTTACAATCCAAGTATATGCAAGAATCAAGTGTTCTTGAGAATGGTGATATACTTGTTAGAAGTGGCCAGTTTAATGCAGTTCTGTTGAGTGTAGTTAATGAATTCGCGACAGGTTTACGCAGACAACCTGTAGATAATAACAAATTGCAATCTACTGACACATTATACAATCCAACTCTGAAAATTCCGTACAGACCTCAAGTAAGTTCATTACAATGGGCAAGAGGTACTGTCATGATAACTGCCAGTCAATTGGATTCATTATTGAGTGGAGAAAAGAGACCTCCTTCCAAATACGAAGAAAGTGCTATTGCGTTAGGTACTGTTACATTAAAGCCACCAAAGAAGAGCACACAAAAAATGGTTGAAGCAGGTGGGCAATACAAACCAGAAGATATGGCATATAAAGTACCAGTAAGACACAACCAAAAGAGTGGTGGATACGGTATTTTTAAAAGTGTTGCAAGAACAGTGGAAACACAGTACGATTATATCGAAAGCAACATTAACGAATATGCCACTGCTATGGGTGACAGTATGAATGAAGCAATGGAAGATACAAGTAAAGATTTGATGAAAGGTGCCATAGGTTTTTAATCAAATCTATCCCCACTACGCCAGCATTGATGCGTTGTATTTTCTATATATTTCATTTGTGTAAAACATGTCATCGGAACTCCTGGGCATAGAATGTTTTCCTGTCATATAACTATCAAAGAATAAAGCAATTTTCAAATATAGAAACAATAATAATGCACTTGTATAACTAAACTAGTCATATATAATAATACAATCAATAATTATAATAAGATTTCATAGGCATCTTTAGGCTTGTTGTCCATTGTCATCCATCCTCTTCTATTATGAGACTTCTCATATCTGTTACCCTCCTTGAAACTATCAATATTTTTTTTGCTACCTACATACACGACTCTTCATATAAAAGGGAATTTTACAGCATCGAAAGCAGCAGTAGCAAACTTGTTGGCTTTCATGATTAATTCTAGATACAGATATGTAAAGAGAGGTTCCAATTAGATATAAAGGACTGTGAATCTGATCAATTATCGTGTCTAGTTGTCTGTAAAGTTTGAAGTTTTTTGGAAGTGCCTTTATTCGGTGAAAAAGAAGTAAATTTCAATTTAATTGGAAAACTAAGTACAACTGTCTGACAAACAGAAAGAAAATATACAGATTATTTTAGAGCTATATCACCCAAACCAGACAAATATCGAGATTAAGTTAGTTAATATGGCTACTCAAATTTTGTTGGATAGTACTCATTTTAACGAGATTCGTAACGCTATTCGTTCACGTTCTGTTGCATGGGATGCTATTGCAAGATCCTCTGAAATAGATGCTAATGATGTCAATGTAGCCAAAAAGTTGGAGAGCATATTGATACATAAGTCTGCTGGATCAGATATCACACCTACCCATATCGATGGTGATATTATCAAACCTTTGATTCATTTTTTGAAAACATCTACAAATGAAGAATCAAGAAAATATGTTACAAACCTTTTAGCAGAATTGCTATCTTCGGATATGTACTCTGAACCTACAATTGAATATTTCAGAACTGAACCAGAACAGTTAGATGAATTGTATGATTGTTCTTTCAATACTACTGATGCTCAAACTAATCTGATTTCCTCATTTAACATTGTTTCATTATTGATCCAACAAGGTTTAATCAATGTTGGACTAGTGAAAAAATTATTAACTAACGATTTGTATTTAGATATATTGAGGAATTTAGAACAAATGGATGCATGTTATGTATGCATTAGATTATTACAAGAACTAGCAAGTAAAAAAGAATATCGTATGACCATTTGGAGAAATAATGGTGGATTTATTCACATTGTCTTTGATATTATCAGTAGAGCCATACAACCAAATTCCACTACAAAAATAGTCGCCACAAACTCAAATAACCTTGGTATCCAATTACAATATTATTCATTATTATTGCTTTGGTTATTAGCCTTTGATACTCAAATTGCATTTGAACTACCACATCAATACCTACAAGATTTCCTAAATCTTTTGAAGCTAGTTAAAATTACAATTAAGGAAAAAATTGCAAGATTATGTTTTGCAATTATTCTGCAATGTTGTTCTAAAGATGTTAAGGGATATAAACAGTTGATCAAGAATTTATTATTACTAGGAAATACTTTACCAATATTACAATCTCTAAGTGAAAGAAAATATTCAGATGAGGAACTTCGTGAAGATATGACAACTCTAAAAGAACTACTCGACAATGAATACAAAGAATTGACATCATTTGATGAATACTTGGCTGAATTAGATTCTAAATTATTATGTTGGTCACCACCACATATCGATAATGGATTTTGGTCCGATAACATAGACAATTTTAAAAATGACAATTGGAAATTATTCAAGCAATTGGCAAACTTATTAAAAGAAGTTTCTAATGAAAAAGATTTAAAAAATATTACAAACAAGCAGAAAAAAATTATTATCGAAGTTGCATTAAGTGACATTACTCATGTAGTTGATTTATTACCAGAAAGTGTCAACATTTTAACGGAATTAAACTGTAAAGTTGTGATCATGCAACTATTGAACTATCCGGATTCAAGAGTCAAGTATGAAGCTTTAAAAGCAACACAGGCTATAATTGGTTACAATTATAAAAACTGAACAATGTTTGTGTGTTTTCCCTTTTTATTTTTATTGCCGGATAAAAAATCATATGTATGTAAATGATATTTAGATTATGTCATAACAATTATTCTTTAATAGATGGATTAATATAATATACAAATTAGACCCCATCGTTTTAATATATAACTTTACCTCTTGTAATGCTGTTTGCCAATTTTTAGAATACCCTCAGGTTCTTCTTCAATGATATTTTCATCATCATATTCATAATTAGTATTTGCATCTTTAACAAAATATTCATCAGTTGATCTCGATTTATCAAATTCGTCTTCTTCATCCTCATTAACTGAAAACTCATTAAATTTATCCATTAATTGTTTAAAAAATGGTGTTGATGCAGAATTTCTGTTAGGCTGGGTTTCAGCTGATTTTGCAGCAAAAAAATTTGATATACTTTTCTTTCCTTGAATAACATTTGGCGAATTATTGACATCATCGATAGCCTTGTGTATCTGTTTAGAAAGATTTCCAATAAAATCAGTATTTTGCGTATTCATCGGAGACTTGGATGTTTCCTTACCTTGTTTATTATTTGAAGAGGATAAAGTAAATTTTGATAACTCTTCCTCAATTAATTTCAATTCTTTTTCCTCTGATTTCAATTGTTCCCGCAATTCTATCACAAGTCTTCTCTTCGAAGCCAGCTTGTACAATAAGCCCTGATATTCGTCATTATCCGCGAATTGGTCTTTACTAATATCAGTATCCTTACTGAGCTGTTCCTTACTGTTGAATTTCTTTGTAGGAGTAGATTCAACAGGAAGAGATAATTGTATACCAGTTCTTCTTGGAGATGCAGAAACAAGATCTTTCAAGGGAGTCTTCCCAGCCCCCTCGGTAACCACAATCGAAGGAACACTTCCAGGTTCCCCAATAGCAGATGAAATCACCTCATAATCATCCTCTTCTGTATTAACCGATACAGTTTGTTTATCCACAATGGAAAATGGATGTAGATTTAAAGCTTCACTAGTAACTCGTTTGTTCTCCGGCATCAAATACTACTCTAACCACTTATCCAAAATACTCCATAGAATTAAATATCCAATTCTTTGTTATCTACCCATCCAGTAATAATCTAAGATCAAACATCTTAAACTTCTACAATTTGTGTTACCTTTAAATCAAATCAAATCAAATCAAATCCATCACTTCAATTGAATCTTGCCTTTGTTTTTGATTTTTGATTTTTTCTGATTTTTTTTGATATACACATTCTTAAGAAATAATTTTAATCTAATTCTGAAATTTGATGGTTAAAAGTTGATGTAATTTTTAACACAGGTCAAATAATCCTTTTATATTTAAATGTTGTATCAATAAGTTGGTTTGCTTTGTGAATTTGGTGTTTAGCATTGGTGTCTGACGTGTGATTGTGGTTGAAAATGCATGAGTTAGTTGAATTAGATAGATATTTTAAGGAAAAAAGGTACGATGAAACTTTTTTGGAATTTTTAAGTGCTGATAAAGGAGAGTATTCCAAGACTTATTTATTAAAAAGCAATGATGAGAAACTTGTGCAATTGTATAATATCTGTATCAAGTTATATCGAGGGTCTGAGAACCAGTTAGAGCTATGTGAAGAACAGCTGAAATTGATGAATAGAATTGCAGAATCTCAATCTAATTGGATTATATATCCACTTTATAAAGTTGCGAAACAGTTTATTGAAAAGTGCAAAGGTGATATCAATAATTTAGAGAACTGTGGTAGAATTGTTCATCGTAGTTTCAATTTATGTTTAAATGATAGGAATCCTATCCAATATGAAAATAGAAATGCTGGTTCCTACAGTTTTGCAAATTTAGAATTCTATATTTATCATAAGCTGAATAATAGGGATATGATGAAGAATTTGGTTAAAGTATTACAATCTCGTTGCATGGATAACTTAGAATCTGTGAGGAAAATTGAATTTACTGGTCATGCTGTTAATTATTTTTATTATTTAGGGGAGTATTATGGATGCTATGAGTCCGATTTCAAGAAAAGTTTTACATTCCTATACGAAGCATTATTGCATTGCAGACATTCATATTACCCACAAGTAGAAAAAATACTGACTCTATTAATACCGTTCAGTCTAATAGCAAATAAGTGGTACCCAAATTTCGACTATTTACAAGGACTATTAAGAAATACTAAAGGTACCAATACTCCAGAAATAATAACTATTTATAAGCCATTAGTAGACTCTTTCTTAACTGGAAATTTATCAAAGTTCAATACTTCCTTCTCTGTCAATGAGATATATTTCTTGAAAAAGGGCGTCTACGTTGCAGTTTACCAATTGAAGGAATTAGTACTGTTGAAATTCATCAAAAAATGTTGTCTGGATATCAAATCTAATAATAACAGCATCGTGCCATTGAAACCCATCGCTGTGATATACTCAAAACAGTTGGAATCATTAAGGATACCTACAACAGGGAATAAGAAAAAGAAGAAAACCCAATCGAACACACCAAAACTAACCTATGAGGAAAAAATCAACGATATATTAGATGAATTGGAGTGTGCTTTAGCAAATTTGATTACCAAAGGATACATAAAGGGTTATCTGTCCCACTCTAACCGATGTATCGTCTTAAGTAAAAAAGATGCTTTTCCAAGGTTAGCGAGATCAGTAGCATAAATTTAAGCTAATTATTAAAGTTACCTCTATATTCTTGCAACTTTAATAATAATAAAACAACAGACAACGAAATGAAGGGAAATGACTAACTAATACAGTAATATTGAATATCTTGGTACGTCATGTCAAGATTATGGGCATTACTATTCAAAATATTACCGACTGCTATTACTACCGACTGCTATTACTACCGATTGCTATTACTACTGGCTTTAATTACGATAAAGTTATTAATTCATCCTTCTTATTCTTGTTTTATTGCAATTTAGATAAAAAAACTTACGTAATCTAGGAAAAAATATTCATACATTAGCTTACTTTTCAACAACTAGAACAGAACTATATTCTGTTTGATTACTTCAATTGTTATTTTTCACTTTGAAACATATGCAATGTAACCTTCCTAAATGGTTAATTCTGAAACTTCAAAACATAGTACAGAAATAAGTCAAGTCTTTCCAAGAAAAGAATGTTGTTAGAAATTGTATATTATGCTGAACTCGTTCTCACAAATGTAGTAACAAAGAGCTCTTCTTGATCTATCAACCTTTCTTCTCCTTCTGATTTACGGTTATACTGTCTGATTTCATTTTATCGATTAGGACCCAGATCTGTCCTTCTCTGCGTCGAGCTCTGAGGTATAGGCTGTATTTTTTCTTTTTTATAATTTTAAAATTTTGATGTAAAAATTAACATGAATGGTAGCGACGAGTATTATGAAACAATATGGTTTAAACAGCTTAGCAACATGATCATCTAAGCAAATGGGCCTCAAAAAAACACAGCTTGAATGTAATTTGCAGCACATTTATTATAATAGTATTTTTGTAAGTTTTATCCCAAGCACAAGCAACAAAAGATATAAAGATAAATAAAATAAAAAAAAAAATAAAAAAAAGAAACTATCAAGATCAATTGTGATAATATTTGATTCAATCATATATATATTTGCTAACCTGATAATTTATTAAAACATTCTTATTAATCGAAAAAAAAGCAAGATAAGAATCTTTGTATCAAGGAAGGGGTTGATTTGAATAGACATTAATATAAAAATTAATTGTATGCTAAGGGAAGTATAACATTTTGGCTTGGATACAAGAATAAAAGCAGTTACTTTTTTTATATACTTATCTCCTGAATTTAAAGAAGGATAAGACTACGTGTAAGTTCAAAAATAAAACTTAACTGTGAAATTTATAGCAGCTTAAGATAAAGAATAAGGGCATAATTTTGAAGGTTTGATTATTAAAAAGATGTCAGATATTCAATTGGCACAGCAGGATCCAGTTTCACTGAAGATTAAGTATTTAAAATTGAAAAGAATTAATGAACTTAATAATAAACTTAAAAATGAATTGGCTCGAGAACGAATTACAGCATCAAATGCATCGCTAAGCATCATAAATTATACAAGTCAACAGAAGGATTATGTTATTTCCGATGTTTGGGGTTATCCTGAGCCAGGAACAAATCATTTCAGGAATACTTTAACAAAAAGAGTAAATAGAAATCAACAAAATAAATCTGCTGACAATAATGCTTGTTGCACAATTATGTGATACCATTTTATCAGTTTCTTCGTCATATATTTAGAATCGTATCGATTCAATCAATTTGGTTCATTATCCATCCATTCACTTTAGATAAATAACACAGCTAAAACACTAAAACAAAAAAAAATTGCATTTTATTATTATTTTCACAATAGCAGCATGATAATTACATCTGTACAATAATTGAAAACCGAATAACTTCTAATTGTATATTAATCACTTTTTCAATATCACATTTCATAATAAACAAACAATATTCAAGAAGCAACGTGAAATAAAATAAAAAACAAAAATTGCACTCATTTAAAATCAACGTTAAGTTGATAGAAATGATTAATACTGAACGTCATTAGTTAATCTAACAATATAGTTGAACTAAATATGCATAAGTGTATTTGTAGATAAATGTATTTAACATCTTATAAAATACTATATTAAATTAAATCCTTAAGTTGTCTCTATCTCTTTAACATTTCTTATTTATTTTGGAGTGATTTTTAAACTTCCTCAAGTACAGTATCATCATCAGGAGTATCTGAACGAGTATCCATTTGATTGATGTTGTTCATATCCAATGGAGGACGTAATGCATTATTGGGACTTATTTGCGTAGTGCGTATATCGCCTAATTGAAGAATATTTAATTCATCTGCAGATAATGACACAGTGTTTATCTGATCCAACAGATTCGATCGTGTTGGCTGTTCATCTCCTTCTCCAGTATTCCATGTATTTCTTCTATTGGCCAAAATTAATTCTCTTTGTCTTGTCAATAAGGTGATGCTATCTTTCAAATATAACCTTAGCACGACTGTTGATAATTTAAACTTTTGTAGCAATTCCGAGAATTTTTCTGTAAATAGCAATCGCCATATTAAAACGCCTTTAATATTATTTTCATTCTCTGATTCGAGCACGCCCTTCTGGATTTCTGTTATCTGTCGGTTTATGTCGATCATTTGCATATGAATTTGAACCATTTCATGTAGAAGAAATCCTGTAAATTGAAATTGAACCCTTGCTAAGCTTGCAACATTAACTTCAAAATCATCAACGCGATCATCTAGTTCATGAAACTTTCTAACAATATGACATAATTCTGAATTTAAAATAGAATTTGCATTTGGAGCTACTATACCTTCTGCATCATCATATTCCTCATCAAAAGGATCTTCACAAAACTTTTTATCAACTAATGGCAATAATTGATTTATTTCAGTACTGGAAATTTGATGACCTTCAAATGAAGCCTCGTACCAATTAAATACATCATCTAACCTTTCAAAATCTATGTTTTGGAAAAGCATGTCATTATTTACACCGTTCATTTGGCTGAGACCTGCTGCAGCTAAAATGGCGGATGAGTCTTGATTCAATTCAGTAGTAATACGATGAAGACCTGTTTCTAAGTCCTCGTTTGGCAGCAACATATTTTTTAAAATAACGTACTTTGTTAATACTTCTCTAATATCAGTCTGCGGGCCACTTGTTGGAGTCGTTAAACTCATCAAATAATGGCGTAACTTATGGACTCCCTTACCCGAAAATACACAAAATATTTGGCGTTGGTTATCGCTGAAATCAGTTGGAGCTGGACGGCAAAATGCTGTAATGTCAGGTCTTAAAAATGATGGAACTGCAGTTAAAGAAAGATGAGACAATCTAGGACAGGCCATCAATAATTCATAAATTGGATATATTGTTAAATTAGAGCAGTAAGAAAGATGGACCCTCTCTAGACTGTCATTTCTCCCTCTTAAAGAAATCATATTTAAAAGCCCTTCATCTGTCATCTGGGAACATTTTACGAGACCTATTCTTTTTAGTTTAGTTAAATCAGATAGTTCGTATAATGTTCTATTTGTTAGATTGGTACAGCATGCAAAATCTACATATTGAATTCTAGGACATGATTGAACTAAAACCCTAACACCTTGATCTGTAATATTAAAACAGTGACCAAAATGAACTGTTTGTAAATTTTTTCCTAGCTTTGCTAAATGGTATAGTGACGTATCTGTTATTCTGCTGCATTTACCTAAAAATACATTTCTCAGTTTTGGTGCTAACATTACTATCCTTTCGATAGTTTTATCAGTAATATTTTCACAACCGGAAAAATCTAATAACCGCAATGCTGGTAACTGGCTAACATTTTTAGAAAGCTCTAGAAGTAACTTATCTGATATGTTTGTGTTGTGAGTAATCCTAAATTCCCTTAACTGGCCCAATTTTGTAAATAGTTTTAATAGACTCTCATCATGAACATTTGGACTTAAGGTAATATCAACTTCGACCAACATTGGGCATCTATCGGCCAATAGCTCCACCAGTTCATCGTCCATATTATTATTTGCAGTTATCTTTACTCTTTTTAGTATTGGCGCATTTATAATAAATTTATTTAATGAGGGGAATGTTACATTCTTAGCTTGTGGAACATAAAACCCTTGAAGTCTTGGACAATTATCTGCTAGAATTTCAAAGATGCTATCTGAAATATCCTTAATTCCTGTGATATCTACACTTTGAAGATATCTACAATCTTTTAATACAGCAGCTATTGAACTGCTAGTAATATGCTTACAGAATACTAATGTCAATCTTTCTAGATTTTTACATCCAATAAAATTGTATAGCTCCTCGTCGTGAAGATAATCACCTACAAATGAAAAGTTTAATCTTTTGATCATTGATCTATAATCAAATATAGTATCTGATGCTGTTAATCTCATTGTTCTCATAAACAATTCTAATTGAACTCTCTTATTGATTTGAGGCCTGTAATAAAGAATTTTCACTATCAATTGAGCCCAAAGTTTACAAACTGTTAATAATCTAACAATATCAGCCTTATGACTAAGCTTGTCCAAAACTAAATGCAAAATTTCTGATGGTAACTGCTTAAGTGGAAAGTAACCATCGTTTTTAACTGTCAATTCCCTGTTTCCATTGTTCGTACTGAAAGTATTTCTGGAAATATTTTTAGATATACTATACAATTCTTTCAACTCTTTCGTCATATTTGAAGGCTCACTTGGATTTATAGAGTGTACCCACTGTTGGAAATGGGAAGTAGGATTCAAAGCTCTTCTCCCTTGGTATGCCATTTCAGAGTATTCATTAACTGCATTTTTGTAATGATCAATAATGGTCAGGAACTTAACTCTTATCTTTTGAGCTTCCTCAATTTCTCCAGCAACAATTCTAAGTCTAACTCGTTGCAATTTTGTCCATACGTTAACAGATTGATGAGAATTGCTATCAGCATGTAATTTTTTTAATTCAAAATTTTCTTGATCAATTTCTTGCATCACTATATTTCTTCTACGATCGATAATTTCAATATATTCCGTAAATTTTTGCTTTAAATAATCATGTAATAAATAAACTTCCCTTAATTCATCTCCACTTAGATTCAAGGATTGCAGATCCATGTTTGTAAAGATATTACTTATATCACTCAGTGTATTTGAATGGATTAAAGTTATATCATTAAAACGAGTTTCTATCTTCTTGATAGGGCTTACGTAATTATTATTGTTGTTATTACTATTATTTTGGTTATTGCTTTGGTTATTATCATTACTAACCGAATAACTTTCTCCAATAATGGAATCTAGATATGCATTTCTTGAAAACATTCCTGTTACACCCTGATTTCGTGAATCATCATCATTATTGCTGTTGTTATTATTGCTTATATTTGAATTTGAATATCGATCGTTATCTGGAATTAATATAATTTGGTTGTTTAACATTTCTGAAGATCCAGAATCTCCAGATTGAGTGTTATTATTATTATTATTATTATTATTATTAGAATTATTGTTATTATTTCGTATAGTTGGTCCAAACCATGAGGTAAACTGGGGTTCTCGTTGTGGGTTATTAAAATCCTCTTGATCCATATCTATTCACACCAAATTAAAAGTGTTGTATAAGTCTAATATATAAAACCAAAGATAAATATTAACAATGGATGCTGTGGGCCGATCTCACAAATGTTCTCCAAAAACTTATGAAATTATACCTGTTCTATTATTAATATCAGTTGCTGTGTTATATATTTATATTCTGTGGATAAGCCGAGGGATGAGGAGGAAGAGGGGTAAACAATGAATATATGTGTATATATATGTGAATGAAAATAATAGCAGTTACTTCTGTAAAGAACCTCACCGAACTGGATCCTATTGATGGGCAGTTAAAGGTAATCTAATAAAGTAAAAATAAAACTTGAAAAAAAAAAGAAAAATAGGGATCAAATTAAACTGGGAAAACACATATAATAACACACTGCCTTACCAGAATAACAAAGTATACCAAAGTAAAACGTTAAATGGATTGATCTTAAAGAATGAATCGAATATATTTAGCTTAAAACATTGAGTTAAGTTCCTTCTTAAATCGATGGTTTTTGCTCTTTTAATCTTCTTCCTGACGATCAAGACTATACTCCAGATACTTTGTGGTATCTATCATTAAGTACGAAACCGTCTTTAAGATAGATCACGTGATTATGTATAAATTGATCACTATATAACATAGAAATGGTATTATAAAGTATTAAATATTACGTATTAATAGCGGTTATATGATGTAGATTCGTATATATGCTTACTGGGAGTAGACAATCAAGTTTGCTTGTTTCTGTTATTGGAATATTCCAAATAGCCTAAAGATAAAATCAAATTAGAAATAGAAAAAAGGAATGAAATTGGATCCAATTGGATCTAATGTATGAATAAAAACTTTGAAAGTGCAATGGATTAGAATGTCTTTGATATCATCAAATTGTGGTAGATAACTGCTACATAGTTGCAACTTCTGGATATTACTGTATTTTCTTGACAATAAATTTATATTTTGGTGTTTTTTTTGGTCGTGAACCAGGAGAAGGGTGATGGCTCTTGTTGTCAAAGGAATTATTTAATGACACTTTGATGTACCACTAGTACTCTTCGAATACAGCTCTGTAGTTCAAGTTTAGCTCTTTATCCTTGTGGTGAGTGCCACTAATTTGTTTCATGTTCATGTTACCATTAGCCATGTTGAATTGATGTGGTATTGGTTGGCCTTCATTATTTATGAACATTGATTCAAATTGAGATGCGATTTCATCAGGTCCTCCCGTGACTGGATGAATGTTACTTCCATTCGTGTTGTTTGGAAATATTCCACCACTCATGTAGTAGTTTGAATTGTTCTTCCCATTTGCAATTCCGCTAGTGACTAAGCTCATTCCATTTAAATTTACTGGCAATTGTGTCTTAGATGGCGTTGTGTTTACAACAGAGGAATTAGATCCTTGAGGAGAAGAATTGTTGTACCATGACCCATTGCTTCTGGCACTTGAAACCGAAAGATGACTGACATGTCTCCCTGCTTCTTGTGGGAACCCATTAGTTACATGTGCTGAATGTCTAGACTGAGACGTCGGCGAATTTTGATTAACTGGTGTTAATCCAACTTCTTCAAGTAATCTCCTATGTACCTGTGCAGGATTAGATTCGGTTAAAACTTTTTTGACCTTCATTATTACAATAGTTCTTATATCACCTTCAAGTAGAGGCATCGACAACACCTTATAAACAAAAGTTGGACCCGTTGTATGATCACATAAGATTTTCTTAATATTCTCAGATGGTTCTGAATCATCTGAGTTACCAAATATTGCATCCAATATTAAATTTCTAGGGGCATCATCACCTCTGAAGCTTAAAATTTTTAATATCGTTAGGGAAGCCAATCGATGACAGCATAATTCAACAATATCAGGAACTAATTTTTCAGTTAAAATTCTATGCCTGTCTGGCAAAGTACACGTATCTAAGAACCATGTAACTAACAACGTACCATTGCAATTTGTTGTCAAATACTCAGCAAATAAAATGATTATGGCGCTTAAAACAATTGTTTGTTCATGTGTGACAATTTCATGGGCTTCTAAACATGCTCTTACAGCTCTAGACCCATATCTGTTTTGAGCAATAATCCAGAAATTATTAACTATGTTTTCAAAAATAAAGTTATTCCAAGGGAAACCAAATTTCAGAACACACTGAATAACATAATTACCAAATTGATCATTGAATAATGGGGTACAATATTTTTCAACACCTCTGTCAATTAGCATTTTTTGCCTATTAGTGTCAGCTTTAGTAATCATTTTTTGACAAGCCCAAGTACCGTTTTTATGAACACCCATAGAGGTCAAATACTTGGCGGTTTTACGTAACATTATATCCTTAATAATATCTGAAGAATGTTCAAATAATTTTTGTACGATAGTATTACCAAGGTAATCTGAACTCAAAGATGGTAGCTCATCCAGCATAGCCATTGCCAATTGTTCGATTTCTAGATCATTAATCTGATTGGCATCAATGCTCTTACGTAATTCACGAAGCTTAGGAGTATCAAATTCCTTTCCTGAATTATCATCAGGAAGTGGTCCAAAATTGGAAGTATTAGCTGTACCAGTATTTTTGATTGAATTTCTAACTATGTAATTGATCTCAGCATCTTCACGTTCAGTATCAAATGAGCTGATTATTTCCTTCAGTAATTCTGCTTGATTCTTTGAATATGGCGGCGGTAGTTCGAAAGGACATGATTCCTTCTCACTCTGAGTTGAATGTAAAGACCCATGGTTCAATAATTGTTGTTGTTGTGATTGGGACTGCTGGATCTGTTGAGCTTGCTGTTGGCCATTGGCTGATTGGACTTGTGGGTTAAAAAGAGGAACAGAGATGTTCCCTTGTTGTTGAATAATCAATGATCCATTTAGTAACTGTTCGTGCAATAGTGGATGGCCTTGTGATTGACCATCACTGACATTTACAGTTGGGTGGAAAGAAATAGGTTGTTGACTGAAAGAAGGGATGATTTTAGCAAAAGCAATTGTACTTGGCGCTCCTATCATTGATATTTCTTTCCCTTGCAAAGTTTCCATTGCATGTACTGCAGCATCTATGGATTCAAATTCTACTAATGCTATATTTATCCCTTGCAAAGTTCTCGCTGAAATGACTTTACCAAACTTTGAACATAAAGTCACTAAAGAAGTACTTGTCAAATTAATTGCATTTGAAAGATGGGCATGCTGCTGTTGTAAAGGAAACACATTTGAAATTGAGACAGTATTTGTTGGTAGAAGATTGGAAATTTGATTAATTGGAGAAACAGAAAAATCCATGCTAACCCAATTTATCGATGACGAGTCAATGTCATCAGCTACTAATGGAACATCATATCCTTGATTATTTCCATTTAAATAATTATTAGCATTCTGTCTCTGAAGTTGTTCATATGTTGGCGCATCGGTGTAAATACTAGAAGCATTTGATTGGGAGCGACCTCTATTACCATTCACTCCTGTCCAAGAAGAAGGATGCATTCCTAAATTTGATATATTGTTTATAGGACCATTTGAAAATGTTGGGTTTGAAGAATATATTGTTGTAGCAGGCGCTAAGTTATTTGCACTATATTGTTGTTGAGATGAATTTTGTAGATGATCACTTGGGTTGATATTTGTTGACCAAATAGCACTTGAAGAGCCACCAACAGTTCCTAAGGATAAGGAAGTCATTTGTGAGGCTACAGTATCATTTCTTGGACGATGACTGCCCAATGGTAATATTCCATTAAAACTATAGGAATCGCTAGATGCTCTTGGATTCTGTTGAATTAATAAACTCCTTGCATCAGGGAACTGTATTAGGTTTTCAATATCTGGAGATGCATTTATTCCATCTCTAAAATCAATTGGTATACCTTCTACTACAGGTACGATTTGTTTTGTCTTTAAATCTGCATCCTTGAGGGTTGGGGTTGTGACATCATTATTAGTGATTTCATTTGAATTAGTTGAATCTTCATATTTTTCAGTATTTGATTTTTTTGAATGTAATCTTGCACTTATTGAAGGCAACAAATTGCTTAGGGTATTTGATATTCTTCCGGCTCTTGCTCTATAAGAACCTAATTTCTGGGGTTGATCTTGAATTGTTGTGGTTGTGGAAGATATAGGAGTGGTGCTGGTAGGTTCGTCAAATTTCGAGTCCTCACTGTCATTAGAGGTTGTTTGATCAATAAGATCATGAAATCTATTCAAAGATGATTGTGATTTTTTTTCAGTTATCCCCATTGAATTAATAGATAGAATTTAAGAGGTATTATTAAATATTATTAAAAATTATTATATTATTAGTATGACGATGATGGTATTATTATTATGATTATTAATAATTGCCGTAAAATTAGTATTACTATTGGTATTAGTTTTATTAATATTAGTATTAGTATTAGTATTAGTGATATTATTATTATTGGTATTATTATTATTATAATTAAAAATGAAAGGTTAAATTAATTAGTGAATAAAAGGCAGGGTATATGTGAATAAAAAAAAGGGTTATTCTCTTGGATATAACAGATTTTAAATGATTACGTTCTTATATCATGAAATCTATTGATACTAAATTTTATTGTCAATTCAAATAAAAATAATTAACTTTCAAAAATCGTATAAGTCAAAAAAGTTCTTGGCGTTATTATATAAACAGGGTCGAGTATACGAATAATCAAAATTTAATAAAATTTAATGAAATTTAATAAAATAACCTTTAAAATTAAAATATTAGTATTGTGTAAAAATTATCAGTAAATTATATTCTATTATGCTGTATTTATTTATTTATTTATATCTTAATCGATGAACAGATAAGGAACAAATAAATAATTAAGATAAGAGACTATTATATTAGAATAAGAGTATTCTTCCTCTCACACTATAAAAATAAAAAATAAGATGCAAGTAGGAGGGTTGTACAGAGAGAGAGAATATAAAATTGACAGGCCAAGGAATCAGACTAGTAATCTCTTCAAAACTACAATAAAATTCGATTGTTATATAAAAAAAAATGATGACTTCAGTCTCTTGAAAAGAATTTTAACGTAATAGAAATACATACATAATATAAACTACCCCCAAACCACACAGTCTGACACCCTGTCTCTCCTTTTAAATCATATAATTAAATCAATTGAAATAGGGATATTTAATACATCAAGTCAAAACTACTTAGAGTACTGAATTAAATAAATCAACTTGTAGTAAACCAAGCAATTAAGAAGGGAAGCCTAAACTTCTTAGAGTTGTGCGATGGAATATATTATTAGATTTGGATTCATTAAATTTTTAAGAAAACAAAATTATATTAATAATAATACCTCTCTTTACGTCTTGTCTATTCAACTCCATCAACCAACCATTGATAAAAATTCTTACTACCATTATTATAGTAGTAATAATCCTTGATTTCTTCGAGGTCAAGTTTCCTCTACAGCGTTAGAGAGATTAGATTGATGGTGATTGAATTGAGGTAATATTTAACAACTTAGAGTGAAGTGCTTTAATCTATTTGGTAATTAATCATATAAGAAGTGAAACTGAGCTACCCCTGAACTGTATTGCAAGAAGTTCAATGAGAAGACGGGAGTTTTTTTCGACGACAAGAGAACAGCCATGAGCCCAAGGTAGAAGGTAAAAGGTAAGGTCTCTCTTCTCTTTGAGTTCAAGAAGTTAAAAAAAGCATTTCATCAAGATGTAGGTGTAGCCTACCTTTAATTTAACTCGGTAAGACCCAGACCACCTTAGAGTATGGGTAGTAGTTCTTTCTTTAATAATGAATCAGACGAATGGAGTTTTCATCGATATGAGCTTGTAGGTATATACGTTTGTTAGAGTCTGTATTGTTTTCAGTCTCCTTTCCCATCGTCTTTCTGTGTATATATTGTATGTAAGTATGTATGTAAGTATGTATGTGTGTGTGTTTTAGTCTTTGGCATGGTATAGTATAGCACCTGTATATGTATAGGTGTCTCTAGTTATGCTGCCATTAATGTTTTGTTATTGAGTAGCTGACATGATATCCTAAGTAAAGACTGTATGAGATATGGTTTTGACGGTGTTCGTTTTCACTAGCTAAAAAGCTTTTGGAAAGGGGGGGTGAAGGGGGGGAGGGGGTAGGGAAAGGGGGATGGTAGCGATTTATATATGGTATAAGAGATAAGTAGGTAGACAGATGGACAACAAAAAAGACGTAATGCAAATACCGATTATGTTAGTCTAGGTTTGGGTTTATTCAAACTGAATAAAATATATATAACATTTAGTTGATGAGAATGAAAAATAATTTGATCACGTGGTTCATTCGGGTAACTGATTGTGTTTCCGAATTAGGAAACTTGTCAACAGCATCGAGGTTTTTTTGATCTGAACTTTCCGAAAAATTAAAATGCCAAATATTACGTCAATCAGCAGTTGGTTTGACTATTGTTACATCGAATGAGCTTTTGCAATTTGGTAAAACAGTTTCGACTCTATTGTCTGGACTTCATAGATAGATCTTGTAGATTTGCTGCCAATATCGTTATAATCAAAAATTGTTCAGTTATTTGAGATTTGACACTTGGTATTTGTGACTGTATTAATAGATTTTCAAGTTTTTCTAATATTCTAGAAGTTACAACCCTCCCCCTATATCAAAGACAAAGTTCACTTGAAATATAACTAGAAACTAGACTGTCTTGTGTATATTCATTTATGCATGCATGATGTCAGCAAGAGATAGAGGAACCATGTCTGGGAGATCAAGGGTCCTCAGCTCTGGGTTTGATGAAAACTTATGGGACTTTGATGATATTGACACTATTGTAAAAGCCATGGAATTATTAGGTGATGGAAATGATACCAAGGTTGTCAAGTCAATACCATCAGATGAGATAAATGATGTTGCTGACAATGCTGATGTTAGTTTAGAAGTAATAGATGAAAAAAATAACTTATCTGCGGCAAGCATATTCGCTAAATTACCTATTCTAACCAATACACCGTTGATCAAATTTAATGAGACTAGCGATAATCAATCAAGTCCAAGTGATTTTGATGATATTGTTACAAGAATTCAAAAATTAGGAGATGATGATATAAATAATTTTCCTGTCATAAAAAAAGGATTTTATTCCTCTCCTTGGAAAAATAATGATAATAATGACAGATCTATTGATTCAGCGACACTTGCAACAAACTATAATATCAACATTAGAAGTAACGAACGTAAAATATCACCAGCATACAGCACAAATTCAGAGTTCTCAGGAAATCTGCGTTCAGAGACTCCTTGTTCGGTGGTATCAGCTGACGTCGTAGATCATCATCATCAACCTCATCACCAAAAAAAATTGGAGCCACCTTTACAACTACCCACTCAAACTCAAAAGTTAGGTGCCCTTTCTAAGAGAAAATATAAGCTAATCAACTTCACCGAAAGTGGGGGCGATATATTACTGCCGAAACCTGAACTAGAAACAATTCCGGTTAGTGGAAAGGATTTGGATTCGAAGGGTCAGACAAAGAATGAAGTAGTGTTAGGGAATCCAAAAATAGAAATTAACCAATCACTCAAGTTACGTTCAAGGCCTAAACCCCCTCCAAGTTTTCAACTGCATGTGAATAATCCTGATATTAAAGACCCCTGAAAATACCGAGAAAGAATACAATATTCCAAATGATTTAAACCCGGAACAAGACTCAAAAAGCACTTTTCCTTTTAATGATGAAGAAGAATCAAGGTTTCCTGCATTTGAGAATATTGAACAAGCTACTAGAGCCCAAGACCATTCACAGTCATATTCGGCCCCTGAAATGCAACTTTCTTCCCTATCGATGTGTCAAGAAACATCAAAATATGAAAAACTTCCAAAGCCAAAGGTGCCACCTCAGTTTCATATATCGCCTCAAAAGAAACCAATTTTCTCCCAATATATATATGATGACATACCACCACCTAAAATGAAAAAAGCTTCGAAGCCGCTTACACTTCCTGGTTTTAATAATAACGTAAAGAGGCGTACCACGGTTAAACCAGGTCTCCAAATATTTATGGATACCCCTGCTAATGGTACAACTACTACAGCGAGGCAAGACACGCCAAAACTAATCAAACATTCAACAAATATTCAACAAGATACATCGGCGTCAGATGTGGCGTCCAAAACTGAAGCGAAAGTAAAATCTACAGATGTTAATATTCCAAATAGACTCAGTCCAACTATCATGCTGGATTCAAACTCAGAATTATCTACAGAAAGTGACATGAAAGATAAAATATTAAAACAGAAAAAACTGATAGAAATAGATTTGAAATCCTTACAGGGATTGCCAATGAAAGGGTTTTCTGAAAGAAATGCGAAGTTTTATGTCCAATTCAAATATGGTGATATAAAATATAAGGCCAAGGCATCTGTTGGAGCTGATAAAAAATCACTGAATTTTAGCAAGCAAGTTAGCATACCATTTAACGAGATTGACGATAAACTAACCATGTCATTAAATTGTCAATATAGGAAATTAAAGACCTACATTGAAGAGACAGTAATAAAGATTCCCATGGATAAAAATCTAAGTATTGGTAAAAAGCACTATAAAATGCAAAAGAAATTTACCCAAAAGGATTTAGAGTATGATCCCTGGGAATTGATCATCTCACCTGAGAATATCGTTGGTGAGGGGGAAATTGATCTCTGTAAAATCAAAGATACCAAAGCTACCAAAGAAATTGAAGTTAGTCTAATGAATGGCTGGACCAAGAAAACGAAATCTTTAAAATCTGAACCGAAAACCAGTTATGAAATATCAAAATTAATACTTAATATCAGAATTGCATCTTAATATATAATCAAAACGACAAACATTAGTCGATTTATATAAACGAAACTACTTAATTTTAACAAACCATTAATTTTATTGATGTTTTTTTAAAAAATTATATATATTCTATTTCAATACAGAAATTTGAAGTTTCTTGTCATTACTATTACCTGATCAATTCTAACTTTATTGGAGATTATACTATTGATAAATGCTATTTTTTCTGTTGTGGCTGCTGTTGCAGTTGTTGTTGTTGTTGCTGCTGCTGCTGCTGCTGTTGTTGTGTGAATTGTTGCTGTTGTATTTGAGGTGCCATCATATGTGGCATTGGAAATGGAGTGAAACCGCCAAACATTGGGAAACCTGGGGGAGGCATTGGTGGGTTTGCTGGTGCAGTTTGTTGTGGGTTTTTTTCCATTGTGTTTGATGCCATATTAGTATTCATCTTGGAATCTGTGGAAGGGGGAGGTGGATTCAATTTACCTTGTTGCTGTAATGCCATTAATCCCATTAATATTTTATGTGGATTGTATTCTTGTTTTAGTTTCTCTTGTTTACTTAAGTATTCCATCCAAGTAAATTCATTAAAACCGTAATTGAAATAATCACTTATATTAGCACCAGGTTGTCTCCATGGTTTTTCCTTTAAAACTTCTGGATCTAGACTTGATATTGGTTGACCTTCGAATAAACCATCTACATTAATATCGATTGAGGCAGTTGCAGTTGATTCAGGTTGGCCTCCTACTGAAGCTACTGAACCTCCTACTACGACAGTACCATTACCATCTAAACTCGTCGTTCCTTGAGAGGTGATAGTATCTATTTGTTCTGAAGCCACTGTAATTCCCGAGCCTTGTTGAGCCCCACTTGCACCCACTATAGTAGCAGATGTAGATGCAGTACTTGAATCTAATTTCGTTGTATCTCCAGTACCTGCACTAATAATAAATTCTACATCTGATTCGCTATCTGAGTCTGAATATTCAGAATCAGAGCCTGAACCTGAACCTGAACCTGAATCGTTACTATCAGAATCTGCCGGTGCATCTTCTGATTCGATATTGCTTGTGTTAGCTACCGAACTGGTATTATCAGTAACCTTTAATTTTTTCGAATTTTTACGATCAACGTTACTAACCTTCCTTTTCAAAGAAGAGTCCTCTTCATCTGAGCCATATAAGAATTTATCGTCTTCGTCGTCACTTGCACTCATTATAGGTATGGTAATATCAGAGAGAAAACCTTCAATCAATGGTCAATTCTGGTTATATGCCCCTATGTCCAACGAATTAACAACAAATTAACAATAGAATAGAATAGAATAAAGTACAATTAAAAAAACTTGAACTTTATCTTATTCTTCAAAATTTCAAATTGGAAGATAACTGGATTTTACAAACTATTTGGATTCACTAACCAGAAACCGATTCTTTAGGTTTGACAATACCTTTGACATCCAGTTATTAGCTAAGCCAATAGAGCAGTGCTGTGATGTTTCTATTTATTACCTTGAGATGCTATTTTTTCATTATTATATTATATTATATTATATTATATTATCTTCGGTATAGTTACGCATAGTAAAGTAACGCATAGTAAAGTAACGCATAGTAAAGTAAAGGAAAGTATGGCTCTCTCTGGGTTTATTCTTTTCTCCGACAATTTATTTTGATATTGGAATAGTCAGTGCGTCTGTTTCTCATAGTTCCATTGCACTGTGAGAGAGAGACATAGAGAGAGTGAGGGATTATGATCACGTGCTCTAGTTTCAAATTGAAATTTCAGTATCACGTGGCTATTACGTATGGAACGATGGATGTGTATTTTCCGTGCTCTCACGTGACACTGGCTGGTGAAATGTAATAACCGTATATCATGACATAGGTTATTATAATTTGAAAATTTCACCAACCAAAAAGGAATTCGAAGTAAAAGTAGAGAAATTGATAGTTGAAAATAAAGGCATATACAATACAATACGATATGATATAATATAATATAATGCCTTTATACAATACATTTATTTGATGATATTAAGAAAGTAGATAGCTGGTTGGCAACAAGTGGGGTTTTACGGTAAGCATAGTTATTTTATCTAATTGTAAAAGAGTAATCTCGTTTGTTGTAGACATTTTGGAGATATAAAGTACTCTGTATCGGCTAAAAACACTCTTCAGTTTTGGGTTCCTTATTGGGTTTGACGTATTACATTTATTTTGTTCTATACCACTTATTTTAAATTTTTGTTAGATACTAGAGAAATCATTATTGCATAAATGTCATCGAATATTGGTGTGACAACAAAAACAACCGGCAGTGCGAGCACGGTCGCCCAGGAAGATATTCCCAGAGACGTCCGTCTCTTACATCTACTGTTAGCATCTCAATCAATACATAGATATGAAGACCAAGTACCTCTACAATTAATGGATTTCGCATATAGATACACTCAATCGGTGTTAAAGGATGCCATTGTGTATAATGACTATGCAATTGAGAATTCAGCTGTATCTGGAAATGCTGGTGCCAACTCTTCCTCTGGTGCAGGTTCAGGGTCTGGTGCAGGTGCAGGTTCTGGCAGTGGGAACGCTGGTGGTAACGCTGGTGGGTCTGGCTCTACTGGCGCAGGTGGCTCGAGTTCAAATGCTGGAAATAGCCAAAGACTAACGGTAGAGGATATACGGCTGGCAATCGCTGCGAGAACACAATACCAGTTCAAACCAACTGCTCCAAAGGAACTGTTGCTTCAATTAGCATCAGAGAGGAATAAGAAACCGTTGCCTCAAGTAATGGGCTCTTGGGGGATAAGATTACCACCTGAGAAATATTGTCTCACAGCAAAAGAATGGGACCTTGATGAAGAAAAACCACAAGATTAGATTCCCATACTCCAAAAAATAATAATCATCTCCCTCCCCTCTTGTCGTGTATAGTATTTGTAATTAACTAGTTAGTTAATATAATATAACGTAGTTGATGGCATCACTCTGTCATTCTGCTCTGTTCTGCTCTACCATTATCAATATTTCACTATATATCTATCTCATTTTATACGACTATTGTTTTTTTTTCACCCATTCACTTTTTCGAAATTTTAACGTTAACGTAGATTTTGCAAGTTTTTCCTTTAAAATGTTCGAAAATATATTGATAAGAATATGTATATTGAACTATTTAGACATTGATCAATTGTTTTCAGGACAGAATCATTACTTTCTTGGTTACTGGTTTCCAGTAGTAGTTTATAATTGGATTCAATTATTGAATAGTATCCCGAATCGCTTTCTCTTATTACACCAATACAAATTTTGAATAAATTGTTTTGAAATTTTCAGATTCTGCAAATAAAATAAGAAACTAATTGTTATCATTAGCATCAGTTCGACCACTTCTTATTTGGCATTTCTTAAGTCTCGTTATATTAGAGTGTGTTTTCATTGTTAAAAGGATCCATATATATTTATATAAAGATACAACTGTTGTTGTTTTTTTGGTGGCAGGGAAGATTCACTCACTACATTGATAAATTATGTTCTCACAAGGCTCAATCCCTGAGGTTAAAGAAGATGGCATTGGATTTGCTCTTAATGAAAGAAAGTCCAAGATACCGCAGTTCCAGGACTTAGGTCCTCCGGATTTGATTACATTGGTCAAATATATCCCTTCTCAATCTCAATTAAATGGCACTAATCAGCCAGAAACTGTACCTGTTACAAATCAAGATACTAATATTAATATGATTCAAGATTTATACCATCCTGATAAAAATAAAGGTGAGATTGGTACTTATTTCTATTCAATTGGTATTGATACTTCTGATCCGACTTCAATCGCTGTTTTCTTGAAAAACATTGCTGATACTATTTCTGAAGAACCACAAGCCTGGTTTGGTAAGAATAAAAATTTCCATGTCTCGAGAATTACTTTATCTACTTGGAATACTTTCAGAAAATGTGATGTTAACGTTGTAGTCCATATTCCTGGTACTTTGCAGACTTATATTTTAGATATAAATGGTGATCAACTTCAAGTAAACCCAGTTTCGACCTCTAATTCAACTTCAAGTCAACAGGTAGACGAAAGACTATTAATATGGGCAGAAGTATTCTTCAGCGGTATTGTACGTTCTGCTATGTTGATGAAAGATAATGGGGAAGAAGGTGAAGTACAAAATCTAGTGGAAACTTTAGTTTTGAATCCATTAACTTCAGGTGAGATAGATAATGTTGCAAACACTTTCATCAAATTATTCCCATTAGTATATGAGAGAGGTCCAATTCTAGGTGCACCAGTAAATATCACAAATGTTACAAGATCAAACAATTATTTGATAGAAACTCTAATTGAGGTAGTAAAATTGACCCATAGTTTAGAAGAATGTAAAACCATGTTAGAACATTTAATTCAAGAATATCCAGAAGCTGTTGTAGTTTTAATTAGAGTATTGTTTGCATGTGAACAAGAAGTAGATGCAATTAAGTTGGCAAATGAACAATTAAAACTACAAGAAGAAGCCGAAACAAAAAACGACGAAGAAACTATATTCCCACTGGATTATAAAGTAGACATACTATGTGCCCAAGTTGAATTTTTACTGGACTGTAAACATGACTATTCCTTGGCTCAACAAGTTGCTGAAGGTATTGTAAGTTGTTCTCCAAGTGAATTCAAACCATGGTACTTATTGGCAAAGTCCTTTGTGAGATTAAATGACGTTGAAAATGCATTATTGACCCTGAACGCCTGTCCGATGTCTCCATTGAAGGAAAAATATACATTGAAAAGAGTGGTTCCTATTCAAAACGATGCCAATTTGCATCTACCGTTGCCTGTTGATGTTATATTAGATGAAGTTAGCTCATTAAATCCTCAAGATATACAGAGAGAACACAAGTCTGCCGATCCGGTATTGGCTAATTTAGCAGCAGCTAATTTGAAATCAACATTTCAACTAGTTTATAAATTATTGACGGAAATTGTTCAAATCACAGGTTGGGAAAGTCTGTTAAAATATAGATCCAATATTTTCGTTATGGAGGAAGAGTACCAAAGCTCAGCAGAAGATGACAAAACTTCAGAAAGCCAAGCTTCAAGAGAAGGCTCTACTTCTTCTTTGAGAACTAAAAGGTTATGTGAGAGATGGTTGGATAACCTTTTCATGTTACTATACGAAGATTTGAAGACTTATACTCTATGGCAGACAGAGCAGTTATATTTTGAAGCACAAAATACCAAATATAATAAGTTAACAATTGAATGGGAATTATTTGGATTATGTGCTCGTCGTTTAGGACATTATCCTGAAGCAGCCCGTGCTTTTCAAATCGGTTTATCACAAAGATTTTCAGCAGGTTGTGCAAGAAGACTATTAGAATATTGTGTTAAGGAGAATGTCAAGATTAAATACGCGTCCAACTCATCACATGCGGATATGTCATCTAACGATGTCATTGATAGACTAAGAGATCTGGATAACACGATAATTGATCTTTGTGTAAAGATATGCTGTTGGAATCATCGTTGGTATATTGAATTTTCCATTAAATTAATTGAAGCATTATCCCTCGTAATTCAAGACATGGGTCTAACGAAAGTTACAAATGAGATATCTGCCAGATATCCTGAATCAGTCAGCCAATTGATGAAGGACAATCTATTAGATTTTTTCGCCAATGATACCAATGAATACTATGATGCATGAACATATATATTAATAACAATTCTGAACTAATTCAAAGATCAGAAGACAAGTGAAGCCAAAAAAGGATAAAAAAGGATAAAAAAATACGAAAATGATATAGTGTAGGCCGAATAGAATAAGTGACCTGTGATATATACGGTTGCTGTTGATCTAAAGACCCTTAATAATCTAAATACGGAACTTTAAGATATTAATATAAGCGATCGATATTAATATGTAATTTTTTAATATTAAATAAAACAATGTTTTTTTTTATCTTTTTTGTTTCTTGTCTCAATGAAATGATGAAAAAATGTATTCTTTACCATATATAGAAATTAAATTGATGAAATTTATCAACTCCAGATACGTACGTCTACAAGTTTTACATTATTGATTTTGTTATTTTCGTTGCCCTATTTTTTCAAACAAAGGGAAACGATTAAATATCGTCAATCAACTTATCAAGGCATATATACTCTAGTACGTACTAAGACAGAAAATTCTTGACGTGTCAAACTCAGTAATGCAGCAATAGGATAGAATCTAGGAATTGATTCAAGAAAAAACATAAAGAAAATGCTAAATCTTGGCGACGACTCATTGAACCACCCCGTCCCTTCCTCCTTCATCAACTGCATCAAGAAGTGAAGTGAAATGAAAAGACAACGAGACAGTTAGAATACGTCATATATTCACCAACATTCTATAGATATTTTTTTATATTACTATAATTAGTATGGCTGGTTTCTTAAGAAATCCTTCGAAACTTGTTTTCTAATCAATCATTCGAACCTCTCTCTGTCTCTTTCTCTCTTTATCTACAACTTCCTTACAGAATGGGAATACAACAAGTTTCAATTTCGAAATGCTTGCTGTTTTGATTGCTTAATGCTGTCTCGTTTTCTTTTTTTCCTGGTCTCTCCTTGTCTGTCAGCCTGTCTTTCTGGTGTTTTTTAAAAATAGCATTGCTGGGCTTTAAAATTTAACACGAAAAATTAAAATGGAAAACGATATGATTTCTCAGATAAGTCCGTAGAACAGTATGCGAAAAGTAGCAAAATAATACAAATTTATCGTGTCTGTCTCATCGAAACCAAGGTACCTTTTGCTCTTTTACCTGATGTCTGCCTGGACTGCATCTAACATCGTCAATTGCTTTTAAGACTGTGTTGGTTGAGGATTAGGATGGGGTGGTAGATATTAGATCAGTATTAGAACTTATTCATTTGGAATGAGGAACGTATTTTGTTTTAATTGTATTTAAATTAAATTAATTGCTGGACATTTTATTTTTTGCAACATCTCTAGATATATATATATATAGGATAGAAGGGATAATAGAGTACTGAATCGGGTTGGAATGAAATATTGCATGCTGGCCAGGTTAAAGTATTTGATAAATTGATAGTAATATATTTGCTAAAGTTAGTATTGCTATTTTATATTTGCATTTATTAATAGGTAATAAAATAGAATAAATTTAGCTATCTTTAAAATTTCGTCGTATTCATCTGTTGTATTTTATGGCACAAGTAACTGATTTCGATCGAATACAACAGGAAAGACTTCCTACTCTGTATGAAGTTTTAATTCAGAAAACTGATTCACCTGTGGATTTATGGTCCTTTTACACATTTCTATCTCAATTCCCTCATGCTTTGAATTATCTGGAATTTTGGATAGATTTAATGTCACATATAAGATTGTGTAAAGATTATATTAGGGGAATCAGAGAATCTGTACTGATTCCAAATGAAGAATTGAAATCAAGAAGACAATCAGAAGTTTATGAAAACGTTGAAAGGAACGTCATTGAAACAGAAAATGATATAGAACAACCCAATAAAGAGAATAATGGAGACCAAGATAACATTTCGGTTACATCTTCAATTTTAATTGATGCTTTAATGGATGAAGGTTATTTGGATTTCCAAAACCCTCAAAAAGTTAATAGATTCTTACAAGGTGACCTAGAATACTCTCCACAATTATCTCAATTATTAGATGATTGGAAACGACACTCGGGTTATATCGATCATTCTAATGATGATTCTTATGCGTCGAGTGGTAAGGATAATAAAATCGTTTCAGCTGTAGATGGATTACTACAAAATTATACAAAGATGCATCAAGAGAGACCCCAGGTAACAGCAAAATTACTATTGCAAAACGCACAAACTATTTGTTCATTATATTTGATATCACCAGAAAAAAGTGAAAAATATTTAATTAATGTCCCTGAACACATACGAAATGAAACATTACAATTAGTAGAGATAGGAGGCCGGCATGACCCTGAAGTGTTTGAAAGCATGAGGAGTCTAGCGTATCAATTTTTAGAGATTGATTGTTTCTCCAAATTTTTAAATCGAGTAGCATTGCATAACATCCATGATCAGATTTCAGATTGGAAATATCATCCAGTGAAGCCACACAGTCATAACGATAATAATACAGAAAAGAAGCAACCCAAGAAAAATTTGAAGATATTTGGTATGAATTTAAGTAACGCTAGTGATGATGAAAGTGTAAATGAAGTCGAATATTCACGACACCAATCGAGATCACCTTTTTCTAATTATACAACGATAAGTAGAATCTGTTTTGGTACTTTTTGGATGGGAATCGGATTTTGGATTGGTTATGTATTGATATTTTTAAATTACAATAGAGGTATTCGGGTAGTTACCATTGTTCCATTTGCCATTGGTAGTTATTTCATTGTTTGTGGTATATACCAAGTCGATGTAGTGTATTCATGGTTTGGAGTGACACAAGAATTGATGTTTAGGCATAAATCGTCTGATGAAGAGAATGGACATCCTATGAATTTAGATAAGAACAATAAGGGGGTACCTGGAATATTAAAGGTACTTGGGGGCAAGTCGAGATTAATTAGAATAGACCACCAATTTATCAGGAACTTATTGTTCAAAAGAGGATTATGGTGCTGTGCTATCATAACAATATCGACAGCTATTTTCACGGTAATTTTCAGTTGTGTTCCTGGACGTAGGGTTTAGAACGTTGTATTAAGGTTTGTGAGGTAGATACAATGAAACATGATGAACACAAGGGCATATATAGATATAGACACGAGCATATTTTCGGAAAGCATATAGAATATAAATAAATAATTAATTAATTGATTATACGGGTGGATCAGGTAAGCCTGACAAGACTCTTTATATCATTGAATAACTGCAAGATAGTGATCCTTAGATACAATTGTGACTTCGGAACATTTTTAGCGACAGCCGAACTAGTCCCTGGGCACTGTCATTGAAACTAACACTAATACTGTTTCCATTAAATATGAAAGTAAAGCATCATTATGTTTCACACAATGGTACCTATTGTCATGTAATGTCTATTACTCTAGTCCCAACAAGAACTGAGAGTGCCCCTCCCCCTCCCCCCTCCTCTTCAAATAGATAAATGAATGCCCAGCATCATGGTCACCTGACCATATATATATATCTATATATATAATCTTATATTTCTTCCGTTGATAGCGCCACCGATCACTTTCTCGTACTATAACAACGACAACTCTACATTTTTGTCATGTGAGACGGAAAGAGTCATTTACAGGATCCCAGGAAATTACCGGATGGAGAGACAAACAGAGGAAGAGAGGCAGGCAGACACACAGCAACAACACACCAAAAAGCTCCATAGTTAACAACCAACTGGTCTCTCGAGACGTTTCAGCTCTGAAATGAGTAAATAGTATGACTAATCCTGCAATGTAGCTTAACTATGGACAATTGCTTTCTTTCTCATTGGTATGTCTAGTGACGTTCCTATTCCATGTCTATTGAATAATTCTCATATCTGTCATCCTTCACTATGACGAATTTAAATAACTAGCAATCGGAAACTGGCTAGATTCTATTGGTATGGTTAATTGGTTTGGGTGGAATTGTAATGCAAGAACTATATATAAGAAGGTGATAATTACCTTATATCCATTTGTCTTGGTTTAAAAGATGTCTCTATGTTATTTTTCTTTAGTTAGATTTTAGACTCATATATATTTATATATTTACTACTGTTAAAACAGCAACTAAGAACAACTAATTGTACTTGTAAAGTATTAATTTATCATACTTATAGATATTCAGGTTACACCATTATAATTATTAAAGTAATCGGTATATTTGCCTAATTGGTTTATGTTTAAGTTATCAGAATCAAAATCTACTCGTGAAGACTATTTATCTGACCATATCTGGAAGAATAACTCAAATTAAAGTATTCTCTGCCCTCATTTATTATACATATACTTATTAATATCATTGCTTTTATCTATTAAAATATCCTGTCATGGCCGAATTAAAGAAATCTAAAGCTCTTTTTGAGATTCAAAATGGACCTACCTTTTTGGGCACTTCCTTTGGTGCTGAGAAATCTATTGCTGGCGAAGTAGTATTCACTACTTCCCTTGTAGGTTATCCAGAATCAATGACCGATCCTTCCTATACTGGTCAGATATTAGTCTTTACCCAACCTTTGATTGGAAATTACGGTGTTCCTTCAGGCAACGCTCGTGATGAATTTAATCTGCTAAAATACTTCGAATCACCACACGTTCATGTGACTGGTATCATCGTTTCTGAATATTCATATCAATATTCTCATTGGACAGCTGTTGAGTCATTGGCCAATTGGTGTCAAAGAGAAGGTGTCGCTGCAATTACTGGCGTCGACACTAGAGAAATCGTTCAATACTTGAGAGAGGAAGGTTCCTCTCTAGGAAGAATTACAATTGATGATCAAAACCCAATCCCTTATTCAGATCCAATGAAGACCAATTTGGTTGCTAAAGTCACTACAAAAGAACCATATTACATCAAATCATTGAATCATACATGCACAGTCGCATTGATTGATTGCGGTGTTAAAGAAAATATTATTAGATGTTTAGTATCAAGAGGTGCTAATGTTGTCGTTTTGCCCTACGATTATAAAATCCAAGATGTGGCCACTCAATTCGATGGTGTTTTCATTTCAAATGGCCCAGGTGATCCAAGATTCTGTACTACCACTATCGAAAACTTGAAGCAATTATTAGCTGATCAAAAATCTATAAATTTACCTATCTTTGGTATTTGTTTAGGTCACCAACTGCTAGCATTGGCCTCTGGTGCAACAACTGAAAAATTGAAATACGGTAACAGAGCACATAATATTCCTGCAATGGATTTAACAACAGGTAAATGTTATATCACTTCACAAAACCATGGATATGCCGTCAATGTAGACACTTTACCAAACGATAAATGGCTGCCATATTTCATTAACTTGAATGATCATTCGAATGAAGGTATGATTCATAAATTTAGACCTATTTTCTCAACGCAATTCCATCCAGAAGCTAAAGGTGGTCCTCAAGACACCGAAGTATTATTCAACAAATATTTTGAAAACATTAAAACTTATCAGAAACAGCAATCTGCATATTTGAAACTTAAATCTTCAGAATCAACTATAGAAATCGAATCACTACCAAAGGAAAGAGTAACAGTAGCTTAAAATAGAAATTACATAACTCATATGGGATAATAATATTACAATATACAAACAGTACATTTTGGTACTGAGTTTTATATCTATTTCTTAACACATTAAATATTTAAAGTTCCTAAATACAAAGTTCCTCAATACACCATTTTCACACATATTTTGTCGTTCTTGGTCTGCCAAATAATAAGTTGAACATCATCTAATTGGCATAATCTGTTTATCGATAAGCATTTCGATGAAGTTCTCTCAAGAAACCAATAAAGTGAATTACTGACGCTCCTGGAGAGGAAGTGTCAATTGCACCAAAAAGAAACCAAAAAAACGAATGACGTCATTGACCTAGAATCAAAAAAAAAGGATTGTAAATGATGTCACGTGACTAACAAGATTTGTACCTTTATCGCATCGCTACCAGTTTTCCTGATTTCGAAAAAAAAAAACAATGAAAATATCAAATAAAGCTAAATTTAAGTTAACTCAAGTACATAAACTTTAAAAGTAATTGAAATTGTGTATTGTTGATTAATTTTAAAGATCAACCATCAGATAGGAGACTCTATTTGTGGAGGTATAATTGTGTATCTTGTGAGGATTGATATATATTGAAGAAAGAGGGAAAATTGTCTGACAGTTGGTAATTAAAGCATACTGACCGCTGTTGTTCTTCTAAATTAATAGATTTAATAAACTTTAGTTTTGAAAAGGATAAGTAATTTAGGTATACAATTGAAGTTAATTTTTTGATCTATAGGAATATTGTTGAGAAAGATGGTTGGGGAAATAGATTCGGTTCCTGATAATACAGTTGTGGTCGATAATGAGATTAAAGAGATCAAAGATAAATCTTATTGGCAAGAACGTAAGAAAAGGTTTATCTTAACAGAGGATCCTAAGATAGCCAAACAAAATGATAAAAATGACACGTACAATAGGTTTAAACATCTTTTAGAGATAACCGATCTATTCAGGCATTTCATTAGTATGAGAGCAAAACAGGATAAAAATATACAAAAGCTATTAAAAGGCATCGATAGTGACAATGCTAAAAGGAAGAGTAATTCGGAAGAAGGCTCACGTCATCATAGGAAATCAGAAAAGGAGGAAGATGCTGAATTGATGGCAGAAGAAGAAGGCGAAGGTCTAGAGTTGGATGATACCACGTTTGTAACGGAGTCACCTTCATATGTTAAGTCAGGTATATTAAGAGATTATCAAATTCAAGGTTTAAATTGGTTAATCTCATTGCATGAAAATAACCTATCTGGTATTCTTGCCGATGAAACGGGTCTAGGTAAAACCCTACAAACAATTTCTTTTTTGGGTTATTTAAGATATATTAAAAAGATCGATGGTCCCTTCCTTGTAATTGTACCGAAGTCGACATTAGATAATTGGAGACGTGAATTCAATAAGTGGACACCGGAAGTGAAGGCTGTTGTTTTACATGGTGATAAAGAAACAAGAAATACTCTATTACAAGATGTCATATTAGAGGCAAAATTCGATGTCCTTATCACATCATATGAAATGGTCATAAAGGAAAAAAGTACTTTAAAGAAAATTGCATGGTATTACATTGTCATTGATGAAGCACATCGTATTAAAAATGAACAGAGTGCCCTTTCCCAAATCATTAGACTTTTTTACTCCAAGAATAGATTATTGATCACAGGTACTCCATTACAAAATAATTTACACGAACTATGGGCCTTATTGAATTTTCTGTTACCTGATGTATTTGGTGATGCAGCTCTATTCGATGAGTGGTTTGAACAGAACAACAATGATGAAGATCAAGAAGTCGTCGTTCAGCAATTGCATTCTGTTTTGAATCCATTTTTACTAAGAAGAATAAAAGCTGATGTAGAAAAGTCATTACTTCCAAAAATTGAAACAAATTTATATGTTGGTATGACACAAATGCAAAGAAAATGGTATAAATCCTTGCTGGAAAAGGATATTGATGCAGTTAATGGTGCTGTCGGAAAAAGAGAAGGTAAAACTAGGCTGCTTAATATCGTAATGCAGCTACGTAAATGTTGTAATCATCCGTACTTATTTGAAGGTGCAGAACCAGGACCCCCATATACTACAGATGAACATTTGGTCTTCAATTCAGGTAAAATGATTATCTTGGATAAACTATTGAAAAAACTGAAGGAATCGGGGTCTCGTGTCTTGATTTTCAGCCAAATGTCTAGATTACTGGATATTCTCGAGGATTACTGTTACTTTAGAGGTTACAATTATTGTAGAATAGATGGTTCTACTTCTCATGAAGAACGTATTGAAGCGATCGATGAGTATAATGAGCCAGATTCAGATAAATTTGTATTTTTATTGACCACTCGTGCAGGTGGTCTTGGTATTAACTTAGTCACTGCTGATACCGTTGTACTATATGATTCAGATTGGAACCCTCAGGCAGATTTACAAGCTATGGACAGAGCTCATAGAATTGGTCAAAAGAAACAAGTGCATGTTTACAGATTTGTAACAGAAAATGCTATTGAAGAAAAGGTCATTGAACGTGCGGCACAGAAATTAAGATTAGATCAACTGGTTATTCAACAGGGTGCTAGTAAAAAGACTGCTAATTTAGGTAACAATAAAGATGATTTGATCGAAATGATTCAATATGGTGCTAAAGATGTTTTTGATAAGAATGATGATTCTGTTACAACTAATATTGATATCGATGAGATTTTACAAAAGGGTGAACAGAAAACAAAGGAACTGAATGCAAAATTC